TGGCTTGGGAAATAGCCCAGAGCCATCACCATCACCAGCTAGCAGCAGCAGCCTGCTGTCATCCCGCATCATCCGGGGGCCCGCACCCCCCGGAAAGAGCTGGGGGAAGCAATTGGAGAGCTAGGGGAAAGATCGGGGAGCTGGGAAATCAAACCGAGAACTGGGGGAATGTTCAGGGACCTAAACATTTCCCCAGGCCTAAACAATTCTCCAGCCCCCGGCTTGATTCCCCAGCTCCTGGTTTGATATGCCTGGGAGCTGGGGCAGCTCCACGTGTCAGCCAGAGCCTGGCAGTGCTCAGCCCCAGCAGCCCCAGCTCCCAGACAGTGTACAGCACCCTGCCGAGCCACAGTGCACCCATGCCGTGGGGTAGCTGCCGCACGGGTGCCAGGCAGGGACGATCCCCTGCCCTGTGCTGCACGGGGGAGCTCTGCCATAGGCACCCAGAGGCCCCAGTTGCCACTGCTGCAGCTGGTGAGTAGATGAATTTTTTTTGTCTTTTTTTTTTTTTTTTAAGTGCCAGGACTAGGCTAGGGCCAGGCAGGGCAGCCATGCGGCCTTCTCCTGCAGCTCCCCCTACCTGGGGAGAGGCAGGAATAGCCAGAGGAGCCGTGGGAGAACCTGCAGCTGCCTGGCTGTGCCTGCCTTTCCCCGGCTGATCTGAATTGCCAAATCTCCGAATTGAATCACTGTCCTCTGAATCAGCTGAATCTGCATCAAATACTTACCTATTTGCACAGGCCTATATGCACCGTGACTGCCCAGGACGCAGAGTTGCCCTGCTAACTTTTGCTAAGATGGCTCTCAAGTTATTGTGCCCAAGTAATAACAATAGCAGTGTCAACTGGGACAAAGAATTTGGAAGTGTCAGTGAGACCTCAGGACCACATAAGTTCACAATTTACTATTTCTTTCATCAACCTTTTTATCAACTTCAAGGATCCAGAACTGACCATATGTTATCTAGGAAGAGCCAGAGACCAAGGTGGAGAGGGTTTTATTAGAATTAGGCCCAGAGACCTATCAAGAAGGCAGGAAAGCCCTGTTTTTCTGAAGAATCTCCTCAAAGAAAAGTAAATGTTTAAAGAGAGATGAGATCTGAAACTGAACTATAACCTGGCTGGGGCAATCAGTACCTTAGGATTCCTGACAACTGTACTAAAGTCCACATACTAGTCATTTACATGCTTAGCTGAAGCCAGCCACAGTAAGCCTCTATCTTAGTTAACATGTAATGCAAAAAGTACACAGTGCACTCCAGGCTTCAACTCAATGAAGCCAGAAGACAGTATCAGAACCATCAAAGGAGCTGAAAGTATAACCAACAAAGCAGTCGGGAATGTTCTTAAGTTACATGGGAAAACCCATATATCACCCCACACGCTGCCCTCTGGAGCTCTACATAAATTACTATATTTTAAACCTGTGGGACTCTACTATCTAAAATCCATCATTAACCACAGTAATCTAGATGGAGCAAGGTTAGAGTTGTAGGAGCACTGCTTTAAAAATACTCAAATTAATGTTCAATATACAAAAAGAGCTCTTCTTGGCACTTGGATCTGCTTTCTCAAAGAAGCCAGAGTAAGTCTATAATCCTTGCTAGCACAGTGTGTGTTGCATAATTCTAGAGGACAAAGCCTACTTTTGCTTCCAAACAGAAGTTACTCCTTTACCTCCTGTGGTAGAAGTTTTGTACTGTGAGGCTAAAGGCCTAAATCCAGCTGATGACATGTGAAGGGGGATGCAGTTGCACCTACGCTCATTTCATAGCCAAGGCATCAGTGCATTAGAGACCGTTGCAAACTCTGAAACAAACATCTAAAGAAAAGTTTGATATAAATAAGTTTCTTTCATTTGGTCAGAGAAGGGCAGCAGTGCCAGTAGAACCAAAAAATAATTAATTAGCACATGAGCAAGCACTGAGCTCCAAGCAAGCAAAGCAAAATACTCCATGGCATTGTTGAAATAAGCCTGTTTTCAAGTTCACTAAAACAAAACAAAACATGCAAATATGTTTTCACTCTTGGTAATAAAAATTCTTGTCATCTTCAGGTTGCTTTTGCCATTTTGAAATTGAGTTGAACCCAACTGGTTACAAAAGTCCTTTATAGCTATTTGGCTACTATAAGCCTTCTGCTCACAGGATCAGAACGTAAATTGGAAGCTATTTTGAATGACTTTCTCAGAGAGAGAGGCTGCATTTGTTAAGTTCTCTCTGAATCATTCAAATTCAAGTTTTGAACATTTGTAAAACAAGAGTGCATGTATTCTTGATGGTTTATATCAGAATTCTATAAATCACATGTAGGATGATATGTAAGACCTACAATTCCCTGCAAGTCTTCTTTTAATTACTTGGTGTCATAACTTGACTGTTACTCAAACATGGTGGCTGTATTTTCTTTATGTTATTATAAGGTTCATTAAGTTAAGCTTTTAAAGCAGGGGGTTAACATGCGGCTCCTGGGCTCCCACTTGCTGCAGTTCCCCCTATCACTCCGATGTGGGTCTCCAGCCTCCTGCACTCCTTCCTCTGCCTTCTGCTTTCTGCCCCTGCCCCAAGGGATAGGGCTAGACAGTGCGCGGTACAGAGGGAGCCCACAGTCGGGGCACTGTGAGTGGAGGATGGGGCACCTTCTCATCATGGTACAGCAAGGACCTGTGGCCTATGCTGGTGTGGCCCCCACTGTGTGTGGTCCCTGTTGGTGGAACCCTGACTGCTAGAAGTTGAACAGGCCTGTTTTAAGGGACACAGGATGCTTTTTAAACCAAATTGTTCATACATAGGAGGGAGCTGTGGTGCTCCAGCTATGCTACCAGATGTCTTCAGGGTACTTGGCCTAAAATGCTACATGACACGTTGATATAATCAATTCCTCCTGAGATAGGATAGGATATACTTGAAAATTATTTGCTAAGGCAGAGATAGACCAATGGATAACATTGGTGGATTTGGTAAGCATCCTTCAAGAGCAGGCCTGTAATCAACTAAAAAACAAATCAGGTCCTTCTAATTTTCCCACTAAAATTTTCATAAAACACACTACTTTAAATAAAAAGGGAACAAGGAGCCCAAAGAAATGGTGAATAAATAAATTAATCAAAAAGGAAACAAATGAAACTGTACTGGCTTTGGGGTGGCACTAGATTCCAGGAGACTTCCAATAAACTTTTGCTTTCAGCTTCTTTCATTCTGGGCCTGGTATGAATTATTTCTAAGCTTTGTCCACAGCAAGTAAAATATTTACCATGATTATTACCAGAGTTAGACACTATGCAAGCTTCTCAATGCACCTTAAATTTTGTCTTACCACGCTCCAAGTCTACCTGCCAAAAGTATTTATTAATTTGAAAGCTTTATAATGTGCACAAATGGCAGAGACCAACCAGCAAACTGATCTTCACTTGGGGCCTCAAATCATCCCCTTGTGCTACATACTGTAGAGCTCTATCAACAAGAAAGGCATCACTATGGTGAATTCCTGATAAAACTTGAATGTCAACCCCAGATTTCCTAGTTTTTGTGAGTTAGATGCCCTAACATCTATGATCTTATGTATTTGAGTTTATTCAATACATTTCACCTAATAGTTTCTGTCTCAACTTTAATCCTGTATTCTCCAATCTTGGATGTTTTTACAATAGATGTCCTGTCTAAATTGGTATGGTGCAGTCAGACATAAATTATATAGGGTGATGCATTAAATCATCTGCTTCCAGGTGACTGTTGTTTAACAGCCTTTGTTGTTAGTTAACTCTGTCTTGAAAAAAATCTAGTTCAATGCTGACACTCACACAATGATGTAATTAATAAACATCCATTTTATAGGGAACAAAAACAAAATGGTTATATATTACATCCATGCAGAAATGATTGTTATGAACCTGTAAAGCTTTTTGAAATTAAAATTGACTTAGGAGACATTTCTTATAGACCAATCATTTTGATCTGCTTTGAAAGCTAATGAGAATGTCACAGTTTATGAATGGGTACAGCATGTTGTGTTAAACTCAACCAAGCATCTCAAGATGTATATGTACATATTTTAACCCAGTAACTTCTTGTATTGTTACTTGGTCTTTCCCTCCTTGTTCTACATACAGGCAACGCTTGCCATTTGTGGGGATGCATTCTCGTAATCCCCGCGAATGGCGAAAACCGCAAATAAGGCACTACGTTCATGAACACAGTACCCCCAGCGGCTAGGTGGGGCACAGCTCCGGCAGTAGCAGGAGCACAGTGGCGGGAGCCCAGCAGCAGCAAGTGCAGAGCTCCCAAGGGGCTCCTGGAAGTCTATGAAGTGTATTTAAAATCTGGGTTTGGCATTCACAAATATTTGAAACCGCAAATATCGAACCCACAAATAGCAAGGGTTTCCTGTACTTTGAAACTGGTTTTCATGCTAACAGCTGCCCCAAATGAACTTCTCATTATCTTTCAAACCACCCCATGAATGACAATTGCTTTTCTCCACACTGCCATAGATGCTTTGGGTGTAAACAAGGACTCTACCTTCCACCTTTTACATAAGACATTTGTTACAGGTTTGTTTCGCCTTCTTCCTTATATACTTTTTTCCTCACTGAGAGTTATGGGCTTGTACAGTACTGAGCTTTCATTTGATCCCCGCATTGGTAACTATTTGCCCAAAGAGGGCACTATTTCATATAGTAAGTTTTACCTGTGCAGTGAAGAAAGCTGGAGTCAGGGATCCTGAAGGAAGTGCTGGGCTGTTGAGGGCAATGGAACCAATATCGGTGCTGGAAAGAACCATGGGAGGGGCGGAGATTTCCAAGCCTTTGGGTTTCTTAGCCTTTGGGGGAAGAGATGGAGATTTTGTCTTGGAACCTGAAGAGAGGTTCAGAGGCTCAAGAGAATCTGAGTCATGGCAACTGGACTCGAGGAAGAAGCTCCTGTGTTCTGAAGGGAGGGGTGAGTTAGGAGACAGAGATGGGGACCGTGATGACGATGGTGAAGTAGATGAAATGCTAGCTGCATTTGGCAGCATTAAAGAAGATATTTTAGCTGACACTGAAGAAGCAAGAAAAGCAGAGGCAGCTGCCGCTTCAGAAGTAGATGGCAGCGACACCATGGGCCTCATCACTTGTTTGTCTGTTTTATTCGTCACAAATCTTATAACAGTCCTGACTTCTTCCACTGGTGTGTTTCCTTCTGACTTTTCTTCCAGTTTTTCTGTTTTGATTGGCTTGAAAGTGTCTGGCTGATTCTGTAGAGAGTTGATGGTGAAAGACGAGTACAAGCCAGAATGGATATATTCATTACGGCTTGTGCTTTTTAGCACAGACAAGCTCTGCTTGTGCTGTTCTCGGCCCTCAGAAGGTATCTTACAGTCGCTGTCCTGCAGCAAAAGGCTCTCTCTGCTGATTTCTATGGCATGTGGATCCATTTTTAAGATTTCAGGAAACGAGACAAACTTGTACACAAACTTTTGTCCAATCACTTTCTTGATGATGTTCTGTGAATACAAAAAGTAGATGCTAAAAAATTAGTGTTTTGAATACACAAAGTGTAATGACTCTTATGATTCATATGAGTAGACTAATATTGCTCCATACTCAAAGTAAATAAGACTGTAGGAAATTTAACATTTCCCTGCCCCCACCCCTTTAGGCTCAATCCCAGCCCCCTATATTTAAACATGAATGATGTTCTTCCTCCTCATACTTGAGGGCCTAAGTCAATTGTCTCTACAACATAAATGAACAGTAGGCTCCTTCATCTTCTTCTGAGGCTGCCTAGCAACCTTTCCTTGTCAGTGAGAAAAAAAGCATTCCAATCACCTTTTGGGTTGAAATCCCTTCCTCTTTAGAAAAGCTTCTAGAGCAAAGGAAACACTCCAACTTACCCTCTATAATTCTAAACCCAGTATCCTTTAGATTTAAGCATTTCCTTTGCAACATTTGCCAATTATAAAACAGCTCCCCAACTCCATTTAGGAGCATGAAACCTCTCTGCTTCACCCAGAACATTTTGTATCAGCGTAAGGGGCTCTGGCCTCTAGAATCTTGCCAGTGCTTGAGTATGATAACACATCCTTCAGCAGGTATGAACTAATTTATGACAAACTGCCGTTTGCACAGGGTGGGATGTCACAAACCTGGGAATTCTGGCTGTCCACATGCCTCAGCAGCACATGATATGTGGCTAGGGAAGCAAACAAACTCCAAGAGCAATAAAAAAATCCCACTGTGTAAATTGCTGTTACTATCAGCACTTATTTTTCTGTACATTTGGCCTAATAAAAGTGTCTTTATAATTCAATCTAGTGCCCTCTGAAGTCACTGAGAATATGGCCACTTACTTCAGTGGCATTTGGTTCAAGCCCTACATCTCATAATGCACAAGTGTGCATTTATTGCCTACGAGGTCCCTCAGTTGGCTCATACACTTGTTTACATTATGGGAACAGATGCTACATAGTATGAGCTCATGAAAAGGAAGACAGCATTTAACATCCATGCCAGGTACAGTAAAAGGGAGCTGCCGATACATGTGCTTAGGGGAGGGGTGGGGGGGACTGTTTTAATTGGAGTGGTTTCCCGCATGAATGATTCATGACCCCCGCAGCTGTGGGAGCACAGCAGTGGTAAGCAGAGGAGCTCCTGCAGATGCCAGTGCTGGTGTCCAGCGGGATCATGGACCACCCTCAGACGCCGTGGGCAGTGTCGTGGCAAGCAGCAACCTCCCACAGGCACCACCAACAGTGTCGGCAGTGCCTTTTTGTAGGCAGTGCACCGCCATGCTCTGGGGGTTCACGTGCACCTGCATGTACCCGCTACATATCACCCCTGGTTCCCAGGGAGCTGCTTTTAATTAAAATGCTTCACTGTCATGTGCATTAAGACCCTGCTGATTTAAAAATGGCCATGGGATGCTTTACCTAAACCTTATTCAATGAGGTTTAGATACAGCACCCCCATGGCCATTTTTGAACCCATGGGGTTATACTCGTGGCGGTGAGGCCATGCTGAAGTGTTCTAATTAGAACATGGAGCAGACTCAGTTAATCTAATTTGCTCTGACACATTCTAATTGGAACGCGAACTAGCACTTGTACAGGCAGCCCATGTTTCCAGATAGTTGGGTAGTGATTCTTGTTTCAAACAGTTTCATAATGAGGCTGGTGACTAAGGTTTCTGTCCTTGAATGCCTTTCTGAGAAGTACACCTCTCTGGTGCAGGGCTTCTCCTTGTAGGTAACATTCTCCTTGCAAATATTTGTTCTGTTCTTAGTGAGGCTTGCATGAGCAGCTGCGTTATTCCTGCAAACCTAATTTCTTCTTCAGTCAGGCATCAGTCTGAGACCCCTGCTTTCTTATATGGACTATCTGATCTGCTTGTTTTGTGGTTTTCTGGTGTTTTTTTTAAGAAGTCTCAATTCCTATCTATACATCTGTGTTCTTATACAGATCCCATCAATGTACTATTTGAGATCCTGCAAGACATGAATGGATTTATCAAAACACATGAGAAGGAAGGAAGTGCTGTTATCTTTGCTTTATAGATGGGGGAACTGAGAGACACAGAAAGTAGCTTGCTCACATTCATAGAAGGAATTTATGATTGAGCTGAGAACGCAATCCAGGTCTCTTGAGTCTCTCAGTCCAGCCCTTTCACTTTCCTTCCTTCATCCTGAGTTGTACATATATCTATGTAACTGGATGAAAATGATCACACAAAGACTATGATTATATTTCTAAAGCTTCAGGACATATTTAGCAAGTGGAATCAAAGTATGTGTTTGTTTTAATTCCTCTGGCTTCATTTTAGAACTTGGCCTATATTTTTTTCTGCTCTGATGTAGATGAAACATTGGATGGACTCAGTTTTACTCCTCCCTGACTCATTTATAAACCACACACTCATTTTAAAATTATCAAACATAAAAGTCAAAGCTATTCACTTAACAGAGACAGTGTTTTTGTTCAACATTTTAATTTGAAAAAAAAATTCACTGCTGGTGCCTGAGGGTTTGTTGCATCCAGCACTGGCAAGTGATGTGCTTAGAACATCCGACTCCAAGCAGGAAAAGATTAAATAAATTTGAGAGGCTCTTTTACATCGGAGCAAGCTTGAAATAAGGGAATTCCTCTATAAAAAGCAATCTAACTGGCTGGTGATTTGATGCTTCCTTCACTATTATTAAATGTATTTGTGTTTTAACAAGGACTCTCAGCGCAGTATGAGCCTGCAGCAAAGACCTAATTAATGATGGGTGAAGCTTAAAAGATTCAGTTCAGATATGCCTCAAGTGTTTTGGATGCTGCTCTTAAATACTAAGCATAAGAAGACACCATCAAAGCATGAGCAAAAATAAGAATGCAATTTAATTAGTAATTTCTGAAACACTGCTGTCAGATTTGTATCCAGAAAGGGACAGATTAGCTTCAATAAAAAGCTTTATTTTCCTTCACTTGCAAGTTTCTTTGTTTTCACGGGTCCATGGATGGATCTAGGATTTTGAAAAGGGGGGTGCAGATGTGGTACATCATATCATATAACACAATAAATACTTTTATCAGGTTAAAAAGAAGCTAGAAGCTTTACTAATAGGCTAATGGCCTAGGGTTCTATTATTCAGTTTAAGGTTAGAGCAAAAGCAAGTATAAATTTGCTGTGTTATACGTTTATATATAAAAAACCCACAACCAACTAGACAAAAATAATTAAAAGTGCTGTATAATTAAAATATATTGGTTCATTAGTCCTGTAGTCATTAGAATTAAATGGACACCTCTTTTTCAGATTCATAAACTGAAATCCAGCCTTCTTGAGCATCTTGATAGTGCATTCAATACTTCACTGAAAAGTTATCTCCACTGAGTTGATGTTTTTCGCTAGTTAAAAACAGTCTGTAGGGCTGTGAAATAAGAGCTACATAACCAGGAGCAGGAAAGAGACAACAGAATTGCAGAAGAAAGAATACCTTAAGTGGAACATTAAGACTGTTAAAAAAGAAGAAAGGTTCATTAACACCTGTGGAATGAGGAGTTTAGAAGGAATCCAGTGGAGTATAATGAGCCACAAAGCCAACTGTCTCCTTCACTGCTGCTTGAATAGAAATGCTGCTGCCACTGCCAAGCCTGTTGCTTTTAAACTTTGGGTTGAGTAAGAATCAAAGGAGGTGCAACTGCAGTACTGCCTTTCCCTCCCTCCTCACCTCCCCCATCCCCCACCCCCCCCCCCCTGCCCCCAAGATCCACCCCTGCACTGGTCATATCCCATTCAGAACTATGAAAGATATTTCAGATGAGACCACACAGCAGTAGACTTAGCTCCAAATGTTGGCTAAACAATTTTCTCCCAATATCTGATAGCAAAGAATGTTTCATTTATGCTTATGACAATTCCTGCAGAGCAAGTTAACTGTTCACTATACTGTCAAAAAACCACACATGCACATGTATATGTTCAAACTTACTGTTTAAATGATGAGAAATTACCCTAGCAAGTAATCTTGCTTTTATTTACGTCTACTGGCCTGTCCAGAATGGTACATTAATGCTACAGAAGGGGCAGTAGTGGATAGGGATGACTACTATATTGTTGCAGATGGAAGAGGAGAAAACTAGTTCACTGAAAGCATCAGGGCCTCCGCTTTATCAGTTTAAAAATTGCCTGCCGTTCTTACCAGGAGACAGCAATCTCTGTAGTATTTGGTGCATAGACTGGGAATTGGGAAACGAGAGTTCTAATCTCAGTTCTTCAGCTGGCTTCTTGAGCAACTTTCATCAAATGACTTAAACTTTGTGCTGCCTTGTCTTAACTTGCAGTACAGGAATTATACCGTTTACCCACCTTTGCAAAGTCCTACGAGCTTACTATTATTACCTGTGTCTATGACTACTATTATTACCCAGATCTATACTAGAATTGCAACCATGATAGGGAATGCTTAAAATGTGCTTGTTCCTTAACTATGTTGTCACGTGGCTTGCTTTTTCCTGTGTAGACCCACCCATATCACTTCAGCTGAAAGGCTTGTAGAGATGGATAGGGAATACCTATCCAACTGCATCTGAATTTTTTCCTATAGATAGCAAAAGTTTTTCAAAGAGCAAAAGGACAATCCAATTTTGATATGAATGTTGATCGGTTGATGTCTGGATTTTCTCCTTGTTTTTGTTTGTTCTTTTATTCCAACAGATGAATGAATGAGGGAACATTGTAGCAGTAATTTCTTATCAATTAAACCTTAATTGATTAGAAATTACTGCTACAATGTTCCCTCATTTTCTTCATTTTCAGGATGGAGAAAAATGCCACTGTAAATTACATACTGACTGCCTGCAGTTTTCTGATCAAGAATATGTTGAGTGTGTGTCAGCAGAATGTATCTACATGCCAGTAAATAACCATACTTTTGTATTTATCAAACTGTAGGCAGAATTCCTTCTGATTGTATCTTTGGAATGAGCTGATGATGTGCAAGATTTTTACTTGCCTGGACTTAGAC